CAATAATAGTTGTATTAACAGTTCTTCCTTGTAGGTGTGTTATTGACAGCATGGTACTTCAGCATAGATCTGGAAATGTTCTTTTTAATGATGAATGCAATACCCTTCCTCTTTCGTTTGTCATTCCTGGCACAGTAGGTCATATGATTGTCCAACTCAAAAGAGCCAATATCGGCTCACTAATGCTATGAGTCGGGGCCGACTCGATGGCACATAACAACAACAACAACAACGCCTACGATATAGTTTCTATGCACTCTATTTCATTTTTCACAATTTCCAGTTTTTCTTGTTTCATACTTCATACATTCCACGTTCCAACTAGTAATGGATGATTGCAGCTGTTTCTCATTTTAAGTCTTGCTCCATCAGCAAGGTCCAGAAAGCTTTACTCCATCAACATCATTGAGGTCGACTCTACTTTGAGGAGGCAGCTCCTCCCCAGTTATATTTTCAGTGCTTTCCAACCTGAGGGGCTCATTTTCTGGCACTGTATCAGACAATGTTCCTGTCATTCATAAGGTTCTCAGTGGCTAATTCTTTCTGAAGTGACCTGTCCTTGTCCTTCTTTCTAGTCTGTCTTAGTCTGGAAGCTCCGCTGAAACCTGTCCACCTGCTGGTATCTGCAATACTGGTGGCATAGCATCCGGCATCATAGCAACAGGTAAGCCACCACAGTAGGACAGGTGGACAGACAGATGAGACGTGGCATACTGCCATAGTGTATTACAATTTTATTATTTTTAAAATTGCAAAGCCAGTCCATGTTTTTGAAAAAATGCAATGACATAGGAGTGTCTAATATAAAAAGTGAAGGTCCCTCCTTTCCAAGTGTACTTCTAGTCCCTGGGGGGTGGGGGACAAGTGCTCCTAACTCTTTGGGACACATTCTTCTGAACACCTTTTCTATGTTATACACAGCTGTATGTTTATATATTTTGTCTACATGCAGTTCTAAGGTGCTCCGGTGGCATAGTGGTGAAGGCATTCGGCTGCTAACAAAAAGGTCAGTGCTTGGAATCCATCAGCCATTCCATGGGAGAAAGAGAGGCATTTTGCTTCTGTAAAGATTTACAACCTTGGAAACCCCATGGGGAAGTTCCACTCTGCTGCTATGAGAAGGAACTGCCCCGGTGGCAGTGGGTTTTAAGCACACTTCTATGTTTAACAACGGTTATCAGAATAAATATTCTGTTGTACAACATGCTGAGTTTTTTTCCTCTTAAATTTTCCCCATGATAACTTCTGGGCTTTTACTGATTTTTTTTCCTTCACTTAACTTTTCATTTTGAGATAATTTAAGATCCATGTGTAAGAAATAATAGTGGGATCTTGCATACACCTTTCACAGTCTACCCAGCTGTAATATTCTGCAAGGCTATTGACACAATCCAGGCATTTGATTCGTATTTCCCCCGTTCTCCTGTACTCATTTGTGTGTGTGTTTAGTTCTCCACAGTTCGATCGTCTGTGCAGGTTCATACATCCGCCGTCAAAGGCAACACACAGAATGGCCCCTCACCACTCTTCACCCTCATTTAAAAAAGTTATGCATCTTCTGTGACATGTTTCTCAGGGTGAGGCACACCTATTGTGTGGCTCTGAAAAACCACTCTTAATTGCTGGAGCAACACTCCAACAGAATATATATAAAGTGGCCACAGATGAAAGCCTCCATGTAAATTATAACAGCAGATACCTGGAAGGAATGGGTCATTGGGCTGCAGGCTCAGGATCATAGTTTGTTGTTGTTGTTATGTGCTGTCGAGTCAAACCCGACTCATAGCGATCCCTCCTTGGGTTTCCGAGGCAGTATCACTACGGAAGTAGGATTGCCCAACCTTCCTTCCGAGGAGTGGCTGGTGGGTTTGAACTGCCAGCCGTCTGGTTAGCAGGCAAGTGTCTTAGCCACTATGCTACCAGAGCTCCTAGGATCATAGTTTAGGGGGACACTAAGGTCAAATGGCATAACACACTGTGGTGGTTATGTTTTTGTGTCAACTTGGCTAGGCCTGGTTGAGCGGCTGGGCAGCTGGATGTAGTATTCCCCATGATGAGATTGGTAATCAACTCCATGGTGGAATCTACTATAAGCAGCTGCCTTTGGGTATGTGGTCTACTTCCTGTATATAAGGAGAAGCTTTGAGAAAGGTCTCTAGCCTTCGGCACGCTTGGACCCTGCATGTAGCTGTGTTGTTGCTCAGCAGCCTGCTGTGTTCTGCCAACCTTGAGACTTACAATGGACTTAAGTTAATGGCCTGCTGTATGGTTTGGTAACATCGGGACTGTGCCTTTTAACTTGTCAACCTTGGGGCTTCTCAGCCACAGCAGCTAGCAGCTGTCTGAGTGAAGAAATGCCTCTAGCTCCAGTGGGCCGGGCACAGGAGGCAGAGCTGGACCCCAAGGTTGAGGGGCTTTCACCCAGCCCCTAGAGCCTGGCACTTTGAACTTGGACTTAAAGCCTCCAAATTGTAAGAATAAACTCCTGTTTGTTAAGGCCATTCCGTTTGTGGTGTATATTCTTGTCAGAGCGGCGCTAGGGAACCAGAACACACACTCTATAAAGACATTGTTCTACATCCTACTATGGTGAGTTGTGACTGGGGTCTTAAAAGCTTGTGAGCAGTCAACTAAGGTGCAACTATTGGTCTCTCCATATCCGGAACAAAGAGTGAAGAAAGTCAAAGAAGGAAACAATTAACTCAAAGCACTAATGACCCACGTGGGCTCCTGCTTGGACTGAGACTAGAAGAACTAGATGGTGCCTGGCCACTGCTGAGTGCTCTGCAAGAAGGTCCCAGAGAGAGTGCCAGAAAACTGTGGAACAAAACTCAAAATCATAGAAAGACCAAGCTTACTAGTCTGATAAGACTGTTGGTACCCTGGAGGGTATGGCCCTTAGATACCTTTAAAGCCAGGGACTGAACTCAACCTCTGTGGCTCAACTTTCAACCAAAGGTAAGCCTATAAGGTGAACATAACACCAGGGAGGGACTTTCTTCCTGGAACAATCAACCACACAAGACCAAAAGGGCAGCATTTGCCTGGGGATAAAGTTCAGAAGGCAAGAAGGGATGGGAAAGAAGGACAAAGGGGAATGGTAAACACCGGGAGGAAGCGGGAAGAGCGCAGTTACACTACAGGGATTGCAGTCAATGTCATGAGACAAAATGTGTATGAATTGCTGAATGGAAAACCAGTTTGCTCTGTAAACTTTCACCCAAATTGCAATAAAATCTTCTTTTAAAAAAATATAGATTATGAATTAAATATTTGTCCTGAGGAAGTACTCCATATAAGATTTCATGATTTATGTAAGGACCGTACTTGGGCATCCGTGAAGGTCTGCAAAACCTCTGGAGTCTTGTTTTACTTGTTTGGGATGTTTCCAGAATGGTCTGGACCAACAGGAGCACTCAGTGGTTAAGGAGGTGGTACAGTCATGGCTGGGCTCTGGGGCTCTGAAGTTAGACGGCCTGGGTTTGTGTTCCAGCTATGCCGCTGACAGGCCACGTGTCCTTGGTTGATACACTTAAGATCTCTGAGTCGCAGAGGTCTCGTCTATGACATGGCGACAGCAGCTCTGCCTGTATCATAAGGTTCTTCTGAAACTTAATTAAAATAATAAGTGTTAAGCTCTTGGAAGAGTGTGTACCTTACAGTAAGTGCTTCATACATGTTAGCTATTATTCTCAGTATGCTGCAAGGAAAATCCCATAAGAAAGACACTATATATGAAAAAAATACATAAAAGCATTATATAAAAATATAAAGAAATATATTGAGCAATCATTATTTGTGTATATACGATAGTGAAATTAACATGCAAGTTGCTTTACAGTTCACTGGGTGTTTCAAATCCATGATAAAGATTTGGCAGTATTTTACCCTAAACAACAGAGATTATAAATCTTGGTTTATAAATAGTTTTTCTTTTTTTAAACAGTGCAAAAATACATATAACATGAAATTTGCCATATTTTATATGTACAATTCAGTGACTAAAAAAAAAAATTCTAGTAACAGAAGGCTGGCGATTCAAACCCACCAGCCACTGCCCTGAAGGAAGGTTGGGGAATCTACTTCAGTAGTGATACCGTCTCGGAAACCCAAGGAGGGGTCGCTATGAGTCGGGGCTGACTCGAGGGCACAAAACAACAACAACAGTAACCACCTTAAAAAGGTAAAAAGAGGAACCTTTCATTTTATTAATACTTTTTTTTTTCTTATTAGGATTTGGGTGAAGATTTACAGAGCAAATTCACTTAGTAATACATTTTATATCACCCAATATATCCAGCATATTAACATTTTAACATGTCATCAGTATCAAAATCACAGTTTACTTTTTTGTAGTGAATCTTTGAATCCGTTGTGCATTTTACATTTTTAGACTAGCTGCTGTCCGGTTGATTTCCAAGGCAGAATGACCTTACAGATCAGGGCCAACTTCCCCACAGGACTTCCTTGGAAACCCAAGGAGGGGTCGCTATGAGTCGAAGACTCCACGGCAGTGAGTTTGATTTTCAATCTTTACAGAAGCGGACTGCCACACCTTCCTCCTGCAGTTTTTCACACTTACAGCATATCTAAGCTCTCGCTAGCTGATATCAAATGCTCAGTGGTCCGAAGGTAA